CAGTTACCACTTTGGAACACTAGCGCTTACCTAGCGGCGGGAATTTTTCCTATGGCAAACTCTCCCATAAGAAAACTCGTTTTGTTCCTAACCTAAGCAGAACTGACCTTACCTGAGGTAAAAGCTCAGGTGGGTCGCTGTGGCGGGCAGGTAGGATCCACGAGGGGGACAAGGGGTCAGAGGTTGTTCGACGACCTCGGAATTGCGCATGCGTGCGAGGATCTGCCCGCGGCCTGACCTGCGCCAATGCGAGGCGCCGCGCGGCGTCCGATTGGCTTGCGCTCGGTGGCGTGACGCGCAGCCCGCCAATCGCGCAGGCCGTCTCTCCGACGCCCGTCCGGCCCAACGGCGCCTGGGCAAGAAAAAGTACGTAGTCAGTCGCTACAGGTGATGAGTTCGCCGTAATCACGGAGCTCGCGCGACGCGACGAAAATAAATCAGTTACACAACTACTATTTATACTGTGCCACGGAGGATGTGTGACGTCGCTTCTCTTCTCACCTGATGCATCACATTTCGTCGCATAAAGCAACAATAATGATTGTGCCATCCAAGCCGTTTCGAATCGTTACCATCATGGTGCTACAGGCGTGGCAAAATTTTAATAACCCTGCTTACAGAATTATGCAAAATTAAACATTTTATTTTTCCCTACCCCGTTCTATAGTTTCGATAGCATTGTTTCAAAACTTGCGCTCTAGAGCAAAAAAAAACCCACACACTGCTAAGAAGTCGCATCGACTCGGCTGCTGAAGGATATCATATTCCGGGAGCTATTTTGATGCTTTTTAGTGACCAAAATACAAGGAAGCGCCAGGGCGACACTCGCATTTGCATCAACCGCCCAAACGCCTCTACGCGCAAGTCATACTGCGAACGAAATTTGGGCTAAAACCCAGATCCTCCTGTTCCATTAAACAGTAGTAAATATACACGTAATTATTCGTGCTTATAGTAATTATTTTGATGCAAACAATAAGTAATTCTTGTAACTTTACCCCCACACTTATTTTTCAAGTAATTTCGTCGAGGTTCTTGGTGGTCCAGCTAACGGAGTTTTTGTGTTTTAAAACATTTGAACAGAATAATTAAAAACCTAATTAGTTACAACTGTTAAAACAATTTTCATCAATATATTATGCACAGATTAATGATATACCTCAAATAATGAGTACCGTATTTTACAGTTTAGCTCTCCATTTGAAGCACATGCCACATGGCGACCATTCGCAAACGCATATATTACAATATTTAAACACAGAAAAACCTTATACATTACATAAATAAACTTCATCTGCGGGTTAACCACAAAAAAATAGGAGAAGAAACATACACAACTTATAGTCTAATGTGAATCTTAAAAGCTGTTCATGTGTTTGATGTTGGACCTTAAACACTAGTTTATTACAAACATTGTAGAAAATCTTTAAAATGGAGCATTGAGGGTCTTGATAACGTGCAACGGAGAAAAGGTCTGTAAACATTACAACACCTGTATGTCGTCATGAAATTATTTCAAGGAAATAATCACAGTTACTAACCTTATTTTGACTTAATCCCCACTAGTATACGAGTCTCGACCCTAAACCTTGCACCACAACCGGAATCACAGTGACTGGGAGACTGAGGAGTCTTCATTGGTCGTGGCTGCTGGGATGTCACCCCTGCATTACGAGAAGTCGGACTGTTGATGGTCCCATATCCGCCCATGGCATCATCCCGACTGTCACTGCAGAAATGGCAGGTACACTTGGTGGTTCGGAGTCCAATAAAAACACGAGATGGTTCTGATCAAGTAGCGTGGAGTGCAGTGAAGAGGTTTGCGCAATGTCTTGAGAGTCGATGAGGCTGGGACGAGGTGGACATGGCGTAGAGTCGGAATGCAATGGCAGGGGAAACGGGAGATCCCAGAGAAAACCCGCCGACCATCGACATCGTCCGGCACGATTCCCACGTGCGAAAACTGGGGTTTCTCTGCCGGGAATCGAATGAAGTTCACCTTAGTGGGAGGTTAGCGCACTATCCGCTGCACCACTGTGGCTCCTAATCGAGTAGCCCACTGAGATAAAAGTTAACAAAATATTAGTTTTTATAGGGCCAAAATATATCTAGCTGCCACAACAGAATGTTTAGTTGAGAAAATAAAACTTGAAAAGAGACAAAATTAATTTTCTTCATTTAACGAAATACGCGTTTGAAAAAAAACAATACCTCTGTGTTGGGCCAAAATAAATTAGACAAAATATCTTGTTGAATCAACTGTATATATTTGTATAGCCCCTCATTTGATTGCCTTCGCTCGAAAATGCAGCTCGGGAGTTTGTTTGCATTTTTAATGACAATTAGGATAGTAACAGTGCTTATTGGTGACTTTATTGATGCTTAATAATCGTATAAACGTCCTAATATAACAACTTCAACAGGCAACTTAAAAGTAAACTTGTAATATTTATTTGTGTACGTTGTCCGGTTTTTGAAATATATTTATTTAAAAACATTGCGATGTCATCTTACAATCGTTTCACTTGAGGTTGCTATAGCGCATTAGATCTATGTTCCAGTGTCAGATGGATTATCATTTATTTTTGTATTAACTGAAACTCTTTAGTGCACATAGAGCCAAAAAGTTTTGGTTGAACCACTTAAATATTTGTTTAAGGAAACCAAATAAGATTTTTTTTTTATTTACAACAGAACATTTCATTTAAAACAATTAATTTTCTTGCGCCAAACAAACTTTGTTTGATTCAAGAAAATTTTTTTCTTACTATGGATTCTCGGTTTCGCTACAGAGGAACTATGCGTATACATATGAGATGGTGGCATTCATTTGATCTCCACGTAGGCCTACCAACACGTAGTAGCCTACACAGCTTCGGAGATGTGTTTTAATGTCTCGAGAACGGTAATCCAAATACCTAATTTTTATATGAAAACTCGTTTCAATCTGGTTTCACGTTCCCACGATATCTACATTCACTTGAATATTACGGAACGACACAGGCCGACTGGTTGTGTGTGTTCGTCGAGTTCTCGCACCACTGTGCTGACTCATACACTGGACGGCACTAATTTCGTGCCGCCGCAGTTGGCTGACCTCGTCTATTAATAGCATGCGCCAGGACAGTCGCAACAAGAGATGTACACAACAAGCACGTTATAAAATGTAAGAGCGACAGTAGAATCTCAGACCGAGACTGTGGGGATGAGGCTTAGCTTTCTCGTGGCAATCATTTCATTGATTGCAACCGAAGAAATTTCACTTACGGACTGTATACAAATTGCATGTGACCACACACGCATACGTCACCCTTGTGCTAGATGACTCAACAAGATTCTATAACAATAAATTATTCGCTAGTAAGAACCGTCCAAAACTCCTCACTACCGCACGGAATTGCGGTACTATCTGGCTAAAAGTGAAGATGGTGGAGGAGTGCTGGCGTGAGTATGATAGTCATTCCGTGGTCCAGGACACATCGTGAGCGAGTCAGCATGAAGTGTTCACATTATGGGAGATGCACTTAAGAAGAAAAGAACAATATTGCACTATGGCAGAGTGGGCAGCCATTAGACGGAGTAACTACCTTCTTCTGATCGGCCATCAAATCATCCACGACTAGACAGCAGTATTTATTAACCTGTCAGTATTATTTTGTGTAGGTTATTCACGGTAAAATGAGCACTTTTCAAAACCCTGCTTAAGATCTACTTGTATGCACTTTGTGTATTCTTCTGCCTTATTTAATATTAACATTGTCATGGGCCTCATCACTTTTTACATCCGTCGTTCAAGTGAAACTGTGAAATTATTATAAAATTAAATATTCAACAAATCTGCTCATTTAGGGCTCCATATGCATACCTATAAGAGAAACTCCAACGAAAATGACGATCCAAGAAGGCGTAAAGTAAACTAAAATAATTTCTCAAAAATCATTAATAATTTTACAGGCGTAGCCTCTGTGTCGCAAATACAGCATACTTAGTTTAAAATAAATCCTGATCGCTGCAACATCTCTTGATATCTTCTGTAGCTGGTTCCGCTGGTCGTCGCCCTTAGTCTTCCCTTACAAGGCTTTCAAGTCTACCTAAGGCGTTACTCTCAAGCCTACCTAAGGCGATACAAGGGCTACAATGTTATAATTTTATATACAACATTTTTAGTTATAATTCTTTGTTTGTAAAATCTCAGTATGAAAATTATTAGAAAATAATTAATTGCAAGCCACATAGAATAAATAAATGATCTCTGTACTGTAGAAACGTTTAATTTTTGCTATTATACTATATCGCATTTCTATGAAATTGAAAAACTACAATTTTATACAAATTTAGTATATTATGAAATTATTTTTCTTATGGGATTATGTTAAATTATCGTTATGGAATCTTGAAATATTTACGAAGTATCGTTTACTCTCCACTTTACAGTTATTCATTTTATAAATATCACACGGTTTGCAGCTGCAGTATAGTGGCCTAACCTAAGTAAACATAATAATTGCGGACAAGGTTGTGATGTTTAGTGGATTAAACTTATTAACTGATATTTGATAACAGATCAAAGCATACACATTGCTAAATTCGTATAAAAATATATTTTATATGGGCGTAGACAGAAAATGGCGATCCTGATATGGGGTCCCAAGTGAGATCTGAGTGCGTTTCCAACATAGAAAAAAGAAGCGCTAAATGTTATTTATGTTGACATTCAGTAGCATGTAGGATTAAAGAACTCTCCACGTATCCTTACGTGTAGCAAATTGCATAATTTAATAACTATCAACACATTTACTGTATGCAGTATACCGTTGCGAAGGTTTGGATCGACATGTATGAATCACAATATTCTTTTCATATCCAGACAGAGCTACAAGAAAAAAAAATTACGTTGATCCACTGATAAAATAGTGTCGAAGATAGAGGAACATAAAATTCATCGACCATTACGAATAAATAGGATGTCTACAGTGAGTTTTGCAAGGCAAAATACACTATGGCCCGTGAGGGGACCGAACCCACGACCTCCGCGTTATTAGCACGATGCTCTAACCAACTGAGCTAACGGGCCTGTTGCTTGATAAGTTAATTTGCTTACAATTTCTTACAATTGAATTAAAACCACTTAAGCGATTTTTAGTATTTACATTTAGATTCTGTTTTATAATTACCATGATAAAATGTTTAGCAGACGTAATAAACTAGGCATATTTACTTTTTACCATATTAGTAAAAAGCAGTTATCTAAGGAGCTATTTTTTTGTTTTCGTAGCTATACTAATGTCCAAATTCTACACTATCTACCAAAAAGTAATTGGGCACCTGTCCACAATGTTTGCTCGGTGGTTGTCACCCCGTTAGAATCTCGCAGGGCCACCTCTTGCGACTATAACAACAGCCACTGGGTTTAACCCTGTTACAACTGCGGGGGAAAGAACTGTAGTATTTAATCTATTTTAATTATATATTTTTGGGTCATTTCGTTAAAAGGACAGCCTCAGTTGGAATAAAAATTAAAACGAAGGAACAACTAGTTCAACGAAAATACACAGTGAATTCAAGTACGCATCTCGTGTTGCTTATTTTTTGTACGTAGCAGTGACAACCTTAAAAGATAGTGGTATATACGAAACCAAATAGGCCTACCGTAACTCGTAACTTTTATTCCGCTCATATTTCAATGCACGGGTACTTCCTGTTTTCTAGGCTTATTTCATTATTTATATTAATTCATATGGCTGGGCTCAGTATTTTGTTGGGATTGTGGTGAGCTTTCTAATAATAGAAACGTAAGCAAGTTATATAATTATGTTTCAAATACATAGGGCAAATTTACAATACTGTGATAAATAAACAGATGTAACTTTAAAAAATTAATTTCGTCGTAAAAACAGTTCACAGTTAAAACATATAAATGTTGCACGTCCATTATTTGCAGTCACACACACATTGGCCCAACGTAACGTAATGGCAACAGTACTCTTTCACACACATCGGTGATGACGCACGTTAAGGCATGTTTATTACGGCCTTGGTAAAACGGATGTGTCATAGTATCGTAACTTTCCTAGGTAGGTTTGAAAAAAAACACAACGTGTACAAACTTCATGTGGTAATTTTAAGTATTTTTCACAAAAAGAGAAAGCAACACTTCGTTTAGCAACACGCTATGTCATGTCGCAAGCCGCCACTTCTGCCAACTTCGGATTTTTAACCATCCCACTATCAAATATAAATATATAAAAATAAGTATTAAAACAATAAAATCTGGTTTATTTTGTAAATTACAAAATCAATAATCATTATTTTTGCTGTAATAACTATGAAATATGATAAAATTGAAACCATGTATAACTTTCCTGCTACTATAGCGGTGCGAAACTTCCCCAGAGAGAGAGAGAGAGAGAGAGAGAGAGAGAGAGAGAGAGAGATAGATAGATAGAGAGAGAGAGAGAGAGAGAAAGAGCAACAAGATCCGCTCCGTCTATTTCAGTTTCTTCGTCGGACGGAAAAAAAGAACACCATGTCACTAGGGTGTACGCACCCTAATTTGCGCTGATATGTTTAACTGTAGCAATGAAATATGTTTCCTTCAGTGCTACATAAAAATTATAATACATCAGTTGGCAACTTTAAATTTACAAATAGCATACCAAAACCTAAGTTAAAATGTGATTTTAACTGTGAACTATTTCTTACTAGCCGTTGCCAACAAATTGCTGCTCTCACTGTTTTTAATTCGTAATTAATACGAAATAATTATCACAAGTTATAGACGATACCAAGTTAAAGTTTCATTTATTGAAAAATATAATACTTTAAAGTTAATAACAGTGTTATTTGTGGCGTACAAGTTATTTAAAAACAGTTTGACATGTTAGTCGTACGGTAATTTTTCAAAGGTTCTATTCAAAACACCCACAGAAACTGTGAATGGACTCTACTATGTAATGCCAATTGTATAGTTGATTCACAATAACTTCGGTCTTTTCTGAAGCCCTGCTAAATTTCTACTTTTGGTTACTGATTACGTATCCTTCCGCTACACGTAAACATAAACACTGCAATGTAACTTCTACTTTTATAACTGTCAAATGCATTGATTGCTGTTTACAGCTGTTCAAAGAATGCTGTCATATTTCCTACGAATGTTCACAACTTAGACCTATAACAACATTTAGGTCGGCTTTATAACTATTTGTTACACACTATATAGCACGTTACACATAATACACATTAATATTTAGCCACGATGGTGTTTATTATAACTGTGGCGGAAACAACAGTAGTATCTAACCTGGTGTTATTAATATGAATTAGGAATAAAAATTTTAACGAAGGGACAACCAGTCCAACGAAACGTCACAGTAAATCCAAGCACGCAACTTGTGTCGCTTATTTATTGTATGTAGCATCGACAAATGTAAAATATAGTGGCGAACATGCAAACACATAGGCCTACCATAACATTTATTCTGCTAATATTTACATGCATTGGTACTTGCTGGTTTGTAGGTTCATTTTATTATTTATTAAAATTTATCTGGTTGGGCTAAGTATTATTTTTGGAATTGTTGCAGACATTCAAATCACAGAAACGTAAGCTTGTTACACAACTGTGTTTCAAACACCTAGTGCGAAGGTACAACATTGTGATAAACAGATGTGAATATAAATAATTAACTTCGTCATAACATCAATTCATGGTTAAAACATATGAACTTTGCACATATATGAAATCCACACACATCTGGCCTGTGCGCAACGATTACAACACAACCACCATAGACGAAAATGGCGGCTACACCCTTACACACGCGGCGATCACAACACTCGTTACAGTATATTAATTATCCCTGCCCTGGAAACTCATATTTATCACAACATTGTAACTTCCCTAGGATGTTAAAAAAACACGAGTACGAACTTGACGTTTCGTTCAGAAACACGCCGTGTCATTGTCATGTCGCCACACACCACTATCAATCGTAAGGCACTATGAAAACGACCCGCCCGCCATATTGGGACAAGCGCGTGGCTAGGCCACGTCTGCCAACCTGCTGGATTTGTAAGTGTCGCGCAACGAGCTGTGTCACGCCATCGCATCTAATATATGCCGTTGCATCTAAATACCATATAATAAGTATTTAAACAATAAAATCTCGTATCAGTTGTAAATTACAATCTCAAACATCATCATTGTTGCTGTAATTAGTATGATATGTGCTGAAATTAGAAATAACAAAATGTATACCTTCCTACACATGTGGTACGATCTCCCCCAGAGAGAGAAGAGAGACAGAGATAATAAGGGAGAGCGACACGCTCTGCTTCGCTTATTGAACTTTTATTCCGGACGGAAAAAAACACCAGCCTACACACAGGAATTTGCGTGGATATTTTTAACTGCAGCAATGAAATGTGTTTCAGTCAGTGCTATATAACAATACAAATATATCAATTGCAACATTTACCTTACAAATAGTATACATAAAACAAGGTTTAAAAAATTGTAACTGAACTATTTCTTACTGGCCATTGACAACACGTTGCTGCTCTCGCTGTTGTTAATTCATGTTTAATACAAAATAAATACTACAAGTTATATAAGATACTTAGGTAAAGTTTCATTTATTCAATAATACAGTACTCTAAAGTTAATCATGGTGTTGAATATTTGTGAAATACAAGTTATTGGAAAAACAGGTCGACGTATTACGCCTAGGGTGATTTTTCAAAGGTTCGATTCCAAAAGGCCGAAGAAAGCGTGAATGGACTATAATTAGACAGCCTTTTTATTAATAATTACATTCGCCATTTAACCTTCCTGAATTCTGGCAAAATATTTATTGCATGCAAAATCTGTTGGGATTCATTTTGGTAGTTCGTCAGGCACGGTACAAAACTTTTCTTTTAGACAGAAATAATGTTCAGAAAAACAGAAAAGAGTAGTTCCAATTAAGTATAATTTATTATTCGTAAGAAATTTCTACGAGCGTATTAATTTTTGTTGAAATTGGAATAATGATTAGTTAGAACTGCGTCAATAACATAGAAAATGTTAATTCTATTATCCTGCAAATGTACTTTAAATCTATACAAACCATGTACGGTAAACAGCGTATCGTAGCAAATACTTGTATACTAAATTTGGGAGAAATCAGTCGAGTAACTATGGAAATATATTGTAAAATCCTTCGTATTTTATGTTCTTATATTCTCCAAAATGGGGAACAAAAGATGCCGTTTATACGTATATTCTGTGCTCTAATATTGTTACTGTGAGCATACCAAGTCTGGTTGACATTGATCAAATGATTAGGTGTGTACAGTACAACAACTTAAAATATTTAAATTTTGTCATTTTGAAGGCATGTTTTTTATATACTTAAATCATGTGAGTTTAAGTGAGCAACTATATCAATACTTGTATGTTAAATTTGTAGATAATCAGGTAAGCATTTATTGAGATATATTACAAAAGTATTATTTTTTCATATGTGCTATGTTACAAAAGATGTGAATACGGCAAAGGAGCATTAAATTTTATGTAGTCGCCATTCTGTATATAAGTGAATAAGTATCTACACTATACTATAAATGTTATAGATTTACGTAGACCATCACAGCTCTACACATGAGCCAAATCTGGCTGTAATCGGTTAAGAGATTCCCAGAATATAGAGGAAATGCTTTATTTAGGTGGCGCTATCTTCCAAATTGGCCGGCAAGTAAACTCTTATATTTATGAATTTAACGCTGGTAGTGTTAACTACCAAAAAAAAATTTGTTTCAAATCGGTCAAACAGTTCCTTGGCTAATAAACGGAGTCCAATAATTTTAATTGGAAGCAATTTTGAAAATAAGTATGGTAAAATTAAAATCACATATTCAAAGTTGTTTTGGTGATATACACACCTAAAGGCAGACATACACAGACACAAAATAACAAGGCAGTCTCAAAAGCATATATTTCCTTGGGAAAGTAGACTAAATTATGTTTTTCTTCATTTTTTTTCACGAAATACTTCGCCGCGTGATATATTCAACGTTTCTTAGCCACAAATTTTT